CAAGTAGAGTTGAACTAGTTTTTGTTATGTGCCTATATTTTCTCTCAACTCTACCATTTCAGGCTAAGGTGAAAGTGTTGGGAATTTACTTAATCATGCACAGCGAAAATAAAACAATTTTCAATTCCCACCAAGGATCTGCATTGTGTTTAGATAGAAATTGTGATAAGAATTATACCTTTGATGAATTTTACAAACTCTTTTACTGATTCTCGAACTCCAATGATTACGATATGCAATCCAAACTGTCCAATTGTCCAGCATCCAATGGTGATCCACACATAGAACAAGAATGACGGTTAGAGTCTTCTTTTCTTGTGCTAGGAAGAATAATGAAAAATTTCATATAGTTTTCAAACCCTAGCAACCTATTAATATAAGTCCAAGCGGGCTCGGCCCGTCGTTAAACTTAACCCGATTCAATATTTAATTAATCAAATTAATTAAATCGGTCCATGAATTAATTAATCCAATTAATTCGGGCCTATTAATAAGCAACCCAATTAATTAATTATCGAACACTAGTCAATTAATTAATTGGTAAATCTCATTTTTCTGGTTCTCTTTTGTGTGTGACCCATTATGTTCCCGATCACGATACCTAACGACGTGAATTATTATTTTGATATAATCAAAATCGATAAATTAAAATACTCCTTTTAATTTATCACTAATTCACATTCATCTTCCCAAATTGATATCTAACAATGTGTCAGGGCAATACATGTGACGGAAAATGTCACGTGGTGTGACAAAACCAAACTTGTTCGTTTATCGTGAAACTATAATCCTTTCGTCAATATGAACAGATCAATTATGAGATATGGATGTGTCAATCTCAATTATCGATTATATCTTTTATCCCACTGTTAAGTCAATGTAAGTCGAAAAGGAGTTTTCGACTTATGAGTTCACCTTGGCCAATGATTTCATTATCAACTTAACCGGATAAAATGTAGATAATAATATCTTACTATCTAAGAGTGACGAATCCTCTATCGATCATTCACAACCTTCATATGATTTTTGACATACCCGTACGATGTTGTATTAGCGACCCTTAGCAGAGCAACATCCAACACCATCAAAGTATAACTGTTCTCATATAAGGTATTACGATGACCTCAAGTCAAAGGACCAATTCCACTATCGAATGTTAGAGATTAACTACTAAC